CAACTCCTGGCCTGAGAATAAGTCTCCCTCTCTTGTCCCAAGATGATTTTTGTCTTACCACTGCCATGTCCAAGCCCCTGCACATTGAAGCAGAGCATGGCTCCCCACTTTTGGCTGTGCAGGTGTGTGTGCAAACTAGCTGTGAATCTGCAATGCTGTGTGCTTGTGGCAGAGGCGGTGTTTGTGTGTGTCACTGTGTGTCTGGAGAGAGGAGCATCCCACACTAGCTCTGATGGCCTGGGGGGCCGTCAGTGAGTCAGTGCTTATGTGTGTCACCGCGTGCTGAGGCACTGATGGGCATGTCGATGCCTGTGCCTCTGTGTCTAGCCGTGGGGTGGGCACCTGTGTGCATGAGTTTATCGGAACTTCTATCTTGAGAATAATTCTGGTGACTTAAACTTTGAGGCCTGGGATGGCTTCCTCTCAGCACTTCCTCCATAGTAGGTCACTGCATGGGGAAGTGGACAAGGCCGGAGGGACCCAACATCTGGTGGTATCCTTTCCACAGCTGTTCTCGTATCAGCCTCTGGCCCTAGGGAGATGCTCTCCCCATCTCTTGTCCTTGCCCAGACTGACAGGGAGAGATGGCAGCTGTGGGAGATGGGGGAGGGCTGGGGGAGGCTTTATGGGTCACTTGTTAATGAGCATTGTCTTTCTTCTGGACCAAGGAAGTGGCAATTGCCCTTGGAAGTGCTTCCTGCTGCTGGGGCGTCAGCTATGAGTGGGAACATGACTTGTGGGGGTGAATAAAGCAAGTCAGAGGCTGAGACAGTCACCCTTGGCTGCAACCCTCTTGCCTCAGTTTCCTCATGCGTACTATGGAACCTGACTGGGTAACAGTGGACCAGGGACCAGTTGTTACAATGCTGAGGCACTTTCCTACTTCTTTACATTGCTCCCTGTTATGCCTCAGTTCCCTGGAAAGTGCCCTGAGCTGAGGCTAAGATGAATAGGAGCTGGAATATTCCTCCCTGCAGTGAGAGGGAGCAGTGTAAGGCAGGGGGTTGAAGCAAGACTAACAGCTAGCCCACCACTCTAGCGCAGTCTCTGTTGTGGCTTTCCACATAGCTTCCCTTCTCTGGGCCTCAATTTGACCATCTGTTGAATAAAGGAGTTGAACAGGAAGCTATCTGAGGGTCTTTCTAACCATAGATTCTCTGGACATCTAGATGCATGAAGTGCTCTGCTTTTTGCATACCCAAACCTCAGGGTTCAGTCTCTCTATCTGTAAATTGGGAAGAATGACACCGAGTTATGGGATCTGGAGTTCTCCAGCCTGTCTAAGGAGTTCTCCAGTCACTCCCACTTCTAGCCAAAATTCAGAACCTCACTGCCCAGTACCTCAACCCAAGGTGAGCCTGGGAATCTCCATGGTAACAAACTGGTTATGAACGGGGCTGCAGTTGCCATGGTGACAGGCTGCTCTGCTTGCTCTCTCTCTCATCCTCCTCATCTCCCCTCCCCTCTTCTCAATGAACCAGAGAGATCTGCCTGGCCCCAGCTCTCCAGGTGGGGTGGGGGTGGGGGGTGGGTGCAGTGATAAGGGGGTCCAGATTGAGAAAGAGGAAAGATGTACTGACTCTGTAGGGGAATGAGGGGCTGTTGGGGTGCCATTACCATGGTGATGGGGCTGCAGCCTGTTAATTAAGCCCCTGGTTGCCATGGAGACGATGGTGGTTGACGTGCTCTGCAGCAAGCCCTGTGTGTGGGGTGTGCTGTGCACTGGACTCATCAATTCCCTGCAAGAGTTTTGGGTCTAGAAGACTGCATATGCAGGTGGGGGACAGAAGAGTGAAGGAGGGTTCAGGGCTATGGCTCCATGAGGCCAGAGTTGGAGGTGAGTGGCTTAGTTCATGGGGGTGATAACATGGACCTAAGGATGGAGAGAGGTTGAACCACTGGAAGACCTCGGTGTGTGCCTCCCATGGAAAGAAGATCCAGTCATTTGGCTCCAGCTTCCATCAAAAACAGTTTCTAATCTTGCTTCAGTGGATGGAGCCCTGGGCTGGAGGTCAGGAAGCTGGGTTCTAGCCCCTCATCGACCACAAGTTCACCCAGGAAAAAAATGTATACATTTCCATTTCTAGGCTTCAGTTTATACATAAAGGGTGAGTGGAAAAATAATGTCTTCAGTCTCTTCTAGTTCCCTAATCCTGAGCCTTTGGAGGCAGCATACTTGAACTTTTTTTCTATCTGAGAAGCGTAAGGGGGGAAGTGGGATGAGGTTTGGAATGAGAGTTCAGAAATAAGGCTCAGCCCAGTGCTGCCTCTTCTGTCCCTGTGATGGAAGGTGCTCTTAGCCCTGGCTCCTTCTACGACTGTGGGTGTGGCTGGAGTGCTCCACTGCTAACTAGGTTGCTGGGGCTTAAAGTTGAGAGTCATTTCCTGGCTAAGGCCAGGCTGGAGCGCCGTATGTATCTGCAGTGTGTTTTCTCAGAGTTTCATCACAGAGAGGTTGACCTGAGGCCTGAGTAGCTCAAATCACCCCCACCTTTGGGGAGGGTGAGTGGAAGGGCTGGAGTCTCCCCTTGGGGACTGTCTCTCACTTGGTCTAAGCTCTTCAGAGAAGGCTTTGTGGCTTTAGTCTAAGATCAACAGAGAGAGCACGAAGGAGTTTTCAGAGCAAGATGGAGTCCCATGGACTGTCTATCCCAGCTTTACAGATGGAGATACAGAGACCCAGAGAGAGGAATTCAGTTTTACCCAGTGATACATTTGGATCTGGGTCCCCTCACCCCCAGCCCCCGTAGGCTCAGTCTCTGAGTGTCCAGTAGTCTGGGACTGCTGAAGGGAAATAATCCCAGGGGAACATCCTAGACTTGGGAAAACCAAAAAACCTCAGCATCTATTTTTTTTTTCACAGCAATTCTCACACAATTATGACTGATGTTTTACTATGGTTCCTGTGTACAGAGTAGTAGAAAAGCAGAGCTACTGGTGGTATGTGGTGCTAAGAAATTCTTGCACACTGATCTACCCACCTGCTATCCTTTTACCCATCCACCAATCCAAACTTACCTGACCTTATTTGTGGTTTTCTCTCTGGGAAAGTCAAGAAACCAATTCTCACCCCTTGTATGAGTAGCTACCTTTTTACCTAAAAAGCCCCTTACGTGCCCACAAAACTCACTGGCAGTGATATCTTAGGGATGGACCATCAGCGGCCTCTTTCAGTCAGCTGTGGGCCTCCGTGGGTGACCTAATCTGAAGCCTCGGATGAATGCAGAAAACCCGAATCTGAGCATTGGGTTCTGTCCATGGTTCTGAAAAAAATCACACCCTATAACCCGGTGTCCAATCATATGGATGGATTTTTAGGACCTATGAAGGTCTTCTTGGTACACCATCAGTATCAAATTGAGAGGCCACTTTAGTCCTGAATCACAGATCTGAGCATAAATAAAGGGGAATCCATCTCACACTCAGTCCTGGTTCCTTTTTTAGCAGCTAGGCTGCAGAGCACTTTGGATAGACTGCATTCTGTTTCTCCTATTGGAGGCAGGGCCAGTTTAAAAAGTTATGTTCAGGCAAGAGTCCTAAACTGGAATAAGCATACTGGATTCTAAACCATGTTCTGCCTTTTGATGGTATTGTGTCTGCAGGCTTTGGGTCTTAGCTTTTTCATCTGTAAATTGAAAGCTGTGCATTAGATAAGGTGGTTGGTTTTAATCTCTCCAGCTCTGGAACTGTCCTGGAACTTTGATAAGTAGTGTGGGTGGGGGAGGGAAAAGGGGCATTAGAGTGACTCTGAAAATCACTTCTCCTCAACCTATTCTCCTTGATGTTTAGGTCTTTCAGACACTTGGAGGGTCCATACCTCTGATGCCACTTCCTGAGATTACTCTACCCTCTGTTCAATCCTGAATTTTAGGGGTTCTGAGGTGTCCTGGAACAATCAGGCTTCTGGAGGACTGATGCTGGGGGATGGGGAGGAACGCAAAGAGCATGTCAGCATTGGAATACTCAGAAAGCAATCCTGGATTAGGAGATTAGACACCCCCCCCCAGGAGAAAACCTGGCTCCAAACTGATCTGTGGCCTATTCCCCCTCCCCCCACTCTGTCTCTGGGCAGCCTTGGGCCAGCTTGCCCTCCCTAGAGGCTGCACCATCTTCAGTGGGGAGTCAGTGCTCCCTCGGACCTCACTGCTGCCTCTCTCCTCCAACATGCTTCCTTCCCAGGGTCATTCCACAGTCAGAGGGTCCTTGTTCATGAACTCCAGGGGTTTGTCTTTGGGGGCAAGATGCTAGGACTCCTGTCAGACTAAGCACAATGAGAGGGTTCACTGCAACTCTTCAGGCACCACTTCTCTTATTTTAAGGTAGGATGAGCCAGACAGTTCCACCCAGGGACCCTGAACTGCCCTGAGGGCAGTACAGTACTTCAGTTAAGACCTCTGGCCTCAGCAAGCCCCTTTGCTCCAACCTCTTGAACAGAGATATAGGAGGGTCTGGGGCTATTTCTCTGTAGGACTGGCCTCCCAGTTTCTCAGGCCCCTCAGGGATCCATATTCTATGGAGCCCCACCCCCGTCACATCAGGCCCCCCCAACTTCCCGTGGGGTCACCCCAGACCCCCAGCCAGGCAGCCGCTGCGGGGCCGCCTCCCAGCGGCCGCGACCTAGTTCCCTGCTGTTATTTTTAGGGCGCGGGATGGCACCTGCCCACGTGCCGGCCCCGCCTGCGCCGGAGAGTGGGGGGCAGACGGAGCTGCGTCTGCTCAAGGGAGGCGAGGCCTCCGTCCCCCGCAGCACCCCTTCCATTCCCACCCGAGCAAGCCCCCGGTTTTAGTGCGAGGGGGCAGCCAGGAGCTCTAGGCCCGCCCCGCGTCCCCTCTTCTTCCTCCCTCCCGGGCTCCCCCCCAAAACCCCGCCAGTGGCTCACGCCTCCTGCATACGGGATGAGGTGAGCAGCGCCGCCGCTGAGAGGGGGCGCGCGCGGGTGTGAGCGTGTGTCCGTGTGCGAATGTGTGTGCGCCGGGCGGGCGGGCACTGCAGCTTCTTCCTCCGTGGAGCGGAGAGCGAGCGAGAGCTAGAGCGAGCGAGAGAGCGGCGAAGGCGGGCAGAGGGGCGCGGGCGAGGCGGCGCTGCCATCCCCGGGCCCGGCGCCGCGCCGCCACCATGCTAAACAACCTGACGGACTGCGAGGACGGCGATGGGGGAGCCAACCCCGGTAAGCAGCAGTCTGCGGGCGGCGAGGGAGGGGGCGGCGAGGAGAGAAGGCAGCTCTGGGGTTAGAAGCAGTGTGGGGGCCGCCTCCTTTAAAGAAGAGGCTGGAATTGACCGGGGCGGTGGGCGCTCAAGGCGGCCTGGAGTCTGGCTCCGAAGGAATGCGCCAGGCGCTGTCCGAGGTTCTGGAATGCGCCGCGCCCGAGGGCAGGGTTGGGGGGCTGAGGGGTTGCCAATGCCTACCGCCGGCCGGGGGCAGACGTGGGTTAGCTAAGCGGGGGAGGCGGTGGGAAAGGGATGGAAGAGCTAGAATGAGCTGACGTGGAGCTCGACGGGTGAGAGAGGACTCCTTTCCCCGAGAAGGGACCCCGGCGTCCTGGCGCAGACCACTGACCGGCGGCGGGGAGGGTGTGTGTGGGGGCGCAGTCTGCTGCAGTCCCTCGTTCTTAGTCTTACAGCTGAAAGGTGGGGGAAGGTGCCAATGGGGGATTTGAGCTATATGACAGCCCCCGTCCGGGCTGCAGTGTCTCCTTAAGGGGACACTTGGTGCAATCTGGGCCCCCTCCCCCAGAGCTGCCTGAGGTCCGACCTCTGATTGAAGAGGACCTCTTCTGGAGATTTTTCAGCTTTACTTTGCAGAATCTCCCTCTCCCTCTCGCGTTCCCGTGGGTTCTTATTCAGGACGGGAAGCAAGATCACCCCCCTTGCGTCCCCGCTCCCCTTCCTCTCAGTGCCCTACGGTGGCAGTGAGGTTTCAAGGGTGGGGCGGGGAGGGGGCAGGCGAGCCTTTTTGGTCAGCAATGCTAGCTTTCCCAGTGAGGCCTCAGGAATGGGGTCCCGGCGGCTGAATTCTGCGCGCCGCGGTGTGGACACTGCGGACGCGCTGCGGTGGGTGCGGAGACTCGCTGGGAACCGAGGGTCTTGGAGCAAGTCCTTTCGCTGCTCTGGCCCTCCCGCGTCCTCCTCCGCGGTTTCCCTGCTCCCAGGTCTTGGGGCCAGCCACCTTCTCGGCTCCCAGGCCCCCCGCCGCCCCCCAGCGGTCTCAGCCATCCATCACGGCTGTCAGCCGCCCCCACCCCCCACCCTCCAGCTGCGCTGCGTCCCCTGCGCACTGGCTCGCCTCCCGCTCTGGCGGTCTGCGCTCAGCGCCTTCAAACGCTCCCCTGGGCATTGCTTGACCCTCTGGACCGAGACTCTTGCAGACCTCTCCCAGGGATGACCCAAGGTCTCCAAGGGCTGAAAAAGCGGGGTCTTCCAGGGACTGGCAGCCTTGACTTGAAGTCCTCTGGATCTTGGCTCAAACTCAGAGCCAAGTGGCCACTTGGGAAGGCTGGACACCAGGGTCCCCATCATTTATCCAACACCCCTTTATCCCTAGGGCTGAGTAGTATATAGGGCTTGGAACTACCAGCTGACTGTCTCATCCATCTCTCCAGTGACCCTGGGGTTCTCTCATCTGGCAACGGCCCCCCTCTTTCCCCTGGGCTTAGGCTGCTAGTGGGGGAGGGGGTTTGGCAAAGTCAAGCCTGCGGCAGTGCCAGACTTCCCTACCGCGGTGCCCAGGGAGTGAACAAGGGTCATTTCTATTGGGGATCCCCTTCAGATACTTATATTATGGGGACAGGGGCTCAGCCAGAGAAATAACCTTGCTACTCTCCCAGACATGGGGTATGTGGTGTGATCACCCAGCCCTTCCTTTTCTGCCCCAGTGATGACACTTTACTGGGCCTCAGAGATGCTGTGGCTCTCAGGATGCCAGAGAAGAGGCATCCTGGGAACTTCCTTCAGTTTTACCCCCTCCCCATTAGTTTCTAGACTCTGAGTGTAGCTGGCCCTTCTGCAGACCTTCTTTCTGTATGTAAGGTCCAGGAACTGGGACTAGAGTGGCCAGGACCTGGGTAGACGGTTAGGGTCTTGGGTAGAGAAGGCTTCCCAGGGGCACCTGGAGTTGGGGTGTGTGTGAGGGGGGCTATAGGGACCTGCTGGGTTTGAGGGAGGAAGGACAATCAGATCACCAGCCCCTGGCATCTCTGACCCTAGGTTCTTGAGGATGTAGGGGACATCTGGCCACTGACCTCGGCAGGTGGGAAAGGACCAGTAACAGCTCTGGCCTAAAGAAGAGCCTAAAGATACTGTCTCTGACCTGAGGTCGCCTTTCTTAGGGTCGGTCACCCTCCTCTCTCCGAGTCTTGCTCGGGGATTCCTCCAGGCCCTGCCCCAGGCCTCCCAGGGAGGCTCTTTAGCCCCAGCCGCTAGCCTGTTTCCTCTCTGGGAGCTCTGGCGGCCGCAGCTTAATTGAAAGCCGATTCGGACTGAGAGCTCCCAGGGGGTGGGGGCGGGGGCCTAGAGGTCTCTGCCTCAGTCTGGCCCTGCCTCTCTCGCGAGCGCCTCGCGCCTCGCGCCTCGCGCCCATCATCCTGATTCCTGACTCTGGGGAATGAGGGCAAGTTCCCCGTTCGCAGTCCTGCTCCTCTGAGAACTCATGGAGCGAACCCTCCTTCCCCTCCACCAGTGCGCCTGGCGTTCCAGGGAGGGGACCGAATGAGCCCTGGCAGAGGAGACCCGGCACCTGGCGTGCAGTCCAGACAGCGGATGGAAAGGCGGGGCCCAGGGCAGGTTTATGGAGCCGCCCCCTCCCCTTCGCTCTCCTCCTGGCTGGGATCCCGCCCCGAGTCGGCTCCGCGCTGCGCGCCGAGTTACATAAGCGACTGCGGGGCGCGTGGCCTGCTCTGCTCGGCGCTGCGCTCTCGGCCCGCGCGGTCGCCATGGAGACCGGGGCAGGGCTGCCGAGTTGCGGGGTCTTGGGCCAGGACGACCCTGTTCTGGCCGGGGACAAGCCCTGGGCACCACGAAGGAGGAGGGGCTTGGAACTGGGCGCCAGAGGCAGAGGCTGACTGGTTCTCAGAGCGGAGCTGAGGGGAGAGGAACTGGTCCCAGGGGATACAGGACCTCTCAATCTTGAGGCTGGAGAAGGGGGGTGGGATGGGGACCCCGGACTGGGAGGGGCACCTCGAATCATCCTCCTCATCACAGTTGTCATCGTAGTAGCAAGAGCTGCCCTCAGTGGGCTAGGTCCTCCCAGTAGGGGCTATTGCTTCATCTCCACAGCAGCCCTATGAGCTAACACCTCGATCTTTGCAAGGGAGGAAACTGAGGCTTAGACTTTGAGTGACTTGCCCAGTTTGTAGACTCTAACAGTGAACCTGGAAGGGACCTTAAATCTTGACTTCCACCCTGCTTCTTAACCTTTAAGACCATTAATCTCATTTCCTGTCAACCTCTTCACTTGATGAGAACACAGGCATCTTGTTAGCATTATAAAGGAGGAATCCACCTCACTTTTATACTCCAGTTTTCTGGAGTTTTAGGGGTCAGGGTAAGTCTGAGGGAGTTTACCAGCCAAAGACTTCCCTGAGCACCTACTATGCATCAGGCTCCCACTAGGAGGATGAGAACTGTTGCTCCCAGCAACAAATGCCTGTAAGACCAGGTGGGGTGGTGGCCCCATCCCTGGGGAGCAGGAGTCCTAGGTTATTGGCCATGGTGGAGGGTGGCAGGAGACAGTGGTGTGGGTTCCTCCAGGAAGCAAGGCCTCTCTTATTTCCCCTTCCACAACTTTGGGTTGGGATGAGATTGGATTAGTAACAAATCATGCTCTGGGAATGGAGCCAGATAGGGCAACAAAGGATGTTTTTCCCCAGGTAGGGAGATGAGGGAAGGAGAAATTCAGAATGGTAAGGAAATACAACTTCACTGGGGTTTGGTCATTGGGAAGTTTCCCTGGCCTCCAGAGAGATGTCTACTACTGAGACTCAGCCCTGGAGCTGATGAGGAATGATGACCAGAGCCTAGGGAATGGGCTTGGGTGTGTGTGTGGGGGAGTCTCTTGTTTCTCTTTGAAAGGTCTCCTCCTTAATGCCCAAGGGACTTTCTCCCTGGGTGATCCATCCACTTCCAACTCACTTTTTCAAGGACTTGCCTCATTGCTCCCCTGGAGTTTAGATATTTTTTTAAAAATATTTATTTATATATGCACACAAGAACTGGGGTACAGTCCAGAGGTGCAGGGGGTGAGAGGATTCACCAGAGACAGAGTGGGGAGCAGAACAGGCCGATTGACTGAAATAAATACACTGCGAGGGAGTAGCGGGTGAGACAGGAGAGGCCCGCTGCGCCCTGTGGGTCAGCTCCCTGGCTGCAGTGGCTGCAGGTAGCTTTGCAGTGCTGTGCTTTACCCCTTATGCCACCAGGGAGGGCCTGGGGGCTTAGCCGTTGACCCATATATCCAAGCAGCTTCTGGGAATAGTCACATCCAGCACTGCCTCCCCCTCAGCCAAATCTATCATTTCCCCCACTCCTAACCCCCCCCCCCATTTATTAAAAAGCACCATCACCCATCCCTCTATCCATGCTAGGAAACCCAGGAATTATCCTAGATTCCTCCTTCTGCCGTCTTCAAACATATGGCATAGAAATATGTCAGTCATTCTTGAGTCTCCCTTGTCCCACGCGCTGGTCTGAGTTACTGTCAGCCCTTGCCTGAATGGCTGACGGCTCTGACCAGCCTCAGTGTTCTCCAGTTAAAGGCTAGTGCGATCGATCTCGATCGCGCTAAGGCTTGTCTCTCGTCCGTTGCCTTTCTTTATCCGAAACTCTTCAGCAGCTTCCCCTTGTCCTCTGGGTGAGGTCTCACATCCTGAGAACAGTCTGCTCATTGTTTAAGGACCCACACTTACCTTTCCAGTCACTCCTCTTTTCAGTCACTCCTCATCCTTCAGCCCACTCCTTCCTCAACTCCGCCAGATCAGACTTCTTTCAGGTCCTCTAACCGGCTCCACTCACTCTTGCCTCTGGGCCATTGAACATGCTGTTCTGCTGTTCTCTCTGCCTGGAAACCCCCCCCCCTCCCCCAGCTCTTACTCATCCTTCAGTTCTCAGCCGACACGTCACTTCCTCTGGGAAGCCTTCCATGACCTCCCAGGCTGGCCTGGATGCTTCTCCTATGTTCCCACAGTCCCTTGTCCGTCACGGAACTTCATTCTGGATTGGAAGTTCCTGGTGACTGACTGGTCATCTCCTCTACTCCTGGCTTCCTTGCGGGCACACACAGTGTCAGTTGTGTGCTTACTCCACCCCCTCCACCCATGTTGGCACCTCGTAGATACTCAGTAAATACATATGGATTGAAGGTGAACGAGGGGCAAAGATGTCAAAAGGAGGTCGCTCCTCCGTGAGCTGGAATATCCTTGGGTCACAGCTCACCTCCTGTGTTCTCTGCCTCCCTGCCCTGGAAGGAGCTTACTTCCAGCCCAAAACATCAGTTACACTGAAGGAGGGGCCCGCGGGGAGTCTTAGGAGTCCTGGAGAATGAAGCAGGACCCTGTAGAGCAGTCATGCTCATTAAAGACGCTCCCAGTGCACGCCAGGGAGGGCACAGGCGTTCTGTCCTTGCTGCCAGCTAACTATTCCGCAGGGAGGTATTGGCTGCATTTTCCCGGTGTGCAAAGCGAGCCTCCAAGAGTTGGCTGCACAGGCAGGGGATGCCAGGCAGGTGATGCCGACTCCTGCCTTCTCTTGTCTTCCCAGGTGATGGCAACCCCAAAGAGAGCAGCCCCTTCATCAACAGCACTGACACAGAGAAGGGGAAGGAGTACGATGGCAAGAACATGGCCTTATTTGAGGTGGGTCGTGGAGGTGTGGGGTTCCCACCCTCAACTCAACTCCCTGCTTGCCCTCTGCTTCCTTTTGCTCCAGGAACGGCCTTCTCTCCTCCCTCAGGCCCACCATCTCCCCTGAGCCACCGGCCCCTGCTTCTCCCCTCAGGCCCACCCCACCCAGCCCTTTGCTTTGTCCTCTCGTCTGTTCCTCCTCTTTCCCCGTCCCCTCCCCTGCTCTGTGCCGGCTACCTTTGGGCTCACCCCACGTACTCCCTGAGACCCTGACACTGCGATCCCCCCTCCACAGGAGGAGATGGACACCAGTCCCATGGTGTCCTCCCTGCTCAGTGGCCTGGCCAACTACACCAACCTGCCCCAGGGGAGTAGGGAGCATGAAGAGGCAGAAAACAACGAGGGTGGAAAGAAGAAGCCAGTGCAGGTGAGCGTCTTGGGGAAGGAGGGATGAGGAAGGAGGGGGGGCTGAGTGGGGGGGGTGGCACAGGGAAAATGGGCGCAGCAGCAGTAGCTGGTGGAGGCAGAGGGCGATAGGGCAGGGGTGGAGGGCGGGGTTTGGTTTGAAGGGGGGGTGGTGGGGCATGAGGTGGGGAGAAGGGGCTGTCTGGGCAGAGGCAGGGGGTGAGCAGCAGAAGCGGCTGGCAGGAGGGAAGTGGAAAGAAGAGGGAGAGAATAGCTGGAGAGAAGTGGGGGTGGGGGAGGGCCCTGGCGGAGTCAGTAGTGGTTGGGGGATACAGAGAGAACACTGACCTCCCACAGGCCCCCCGCATGGGCACCTTCATGGGCGTGTACCTGCCGTGCCTGCAGAACATCTTCGGTGTCATCCTCTTCCTGCGGCTCACCTGGGTGGTGGGCATCGCGGGCATCATGGAGTCCTTCTGCATGGTCTTTATCTGCTGCTCCTGTGTGAGTGACACCCTCCCTTCTCCCACCCCCTGCCAGCTGGGCTGAGTGGGACCTGGGGGTGGGAGGAGGCGGGGGGAAGCTTGAGCACTGAGCTTTTTATAGGAACCGCTGCCTGTGATCTCTGGGAGTGAACTAGGTCTGGCTGGTCCTTCCTGCAGCTCCGTGGGCTGGTCCCTGACGCCTGATAGCCAGGCCTCACCTGGGTGTGCGTGCGTGAGTTACGCAATACACATTCATTGATGAAAAGGATCCATGTAGGCAAAGAAATGCATTTACTTGCAATCCCATGATGGCTAACATTCTCGAGAGCCCAGACCAAAGGCTGAGAGTGTGTCAAAACAGCTTTGGGGTGAGTGTTTCCAGCCCTCTCTAAAAAACAATCAAGCGTCTACCTGCTTCATCGACACACTTACACTTCCTCACTCATGACCCTTGAGCCACCCCTGTCTGCGTGTGGAGGTAACCTGTGCTGAAGCCACCACACCTACTTTATAGGTGAAGAAACTGAGGCTTAGAGAAGTGGAGGGACTGGTCTGAGGTCAGACAGCTCGTCAGAGGCTGCACAGGGCCTTCCAGAGCTCTCTGCTGCTCTGGCCACTTCTCTGTGTGTGTATGCGTGTGTGAATAAGAGGCTTTCTCGACAAGGGCTTGGCAGGAGTAGGAGTTGGAACAGGACCAGGGAGAAGCTCATCCCAGAAGAGGGCTTGTGGGTTTGGCAGGTTTTTACGGGGGGGGGGGGGTAGGGTTTGGCCCCCCCAGGCCACAGCAGCCCCCGCCCCAGCGACATCCCAATGCTCTCTCTCCTGCAGACGATGCTCACGGCCATCTCCATGAGTGCCATTGCCACCAACGGTGTCGTGCCTGGTATGTCCCCGGGGCTTCCTGGAGGGCAGAGGGGCCAGCTGGTCTAGAGGGGACCTGCTTAGGTGGAAGGACAAATGGAGCCACTGGCTTTTAGGCCACCAGGCGCCCCCAGTACTGCAGACCTGGGAGTGGGGCATTACTGTTTGCAGGGTAGGTGGGGGACGCCCCGTTGCGGGGAGGGAAGGAAGACTTACTGGCGATGAACAGGGCAATGCAGGAGCTCCCGTCTGCCTGAGACCCTCTGCTCCATCATCCTATTTTCTGAGCCTTGACCTCCTTAGAGGGGTAATTAGCAACATGGTAATTAGTGCTGCCAATCCACTCACAGTGGCTGACTGGGTCTCTCACTAGGCTGAGGGCTGCAGCCTGAAAGGCTTGAGTGACCCAGAGCAACCCCCTTCCCACCTCTGTCCCTGAGCACCCTCATCCTGTACAGTAGCCCCGTGCCCCTGAACCTCTTGCTGATACTAGGTTCTTTCTGCAGCTGGCGGCTCCTACTACATGATTTCCAGGTCTCTGGGCCCAGAGTTTGGGGGCGCCGTGGGCCTCTGCTTCTACCTGGGCACTACCTTTGCTGGGGCCATGTACATCCTGGGCACCATCGAAATCCTACTGGTGAGAGGGGCCTCGGAGGAGGTGCGGGGTCCCAGGCTGTCAGTCATTAACTGGTGCTACCTGGACACCCCTATAGGCCAGGCCACTCAGGAAGCCAGAGACAAATGAGATGTGCTGTAAAGAGTCCGTAGTCTAGTTGGGAAGACGAGATACAGCAGTTACGTAACAGGAACAGCTGGCGGTGGTAGGCACCCACTGAGCGCTTAGCAGAGTTCCCAGGTGCTTCTAGGTCGTTACCTCCTGACCTCATGAGGCTTAAGTGTTACATGCCCATTCACAAATGAGAAGCTCAGAGAGGCGAAATGTCTTGTTCAAGTCACTCAGCTACTAAGTCGCAGAGGCTGGTTGATAGGAATAAAATCACAGTAGAAACCATCCTGTGAGGTCACACAGCAGCTGCCATTCTGTGATCGCTGTGTGCAGTGTTCTGAGCACTCTGAATGTGCTGATGGCCAGGGGGTTGCAGAAGGGAAGAAGGATGTGAGGGAGCTCAGTGAGGAAATCTGTCAGCAGCAGTGACATAAGCAAGGCCCGTGGGCAGTGTTCAGAGGAGAGGCCTGACCAGTCTCCATCCTTCCTGCCTCTCCCAGGAGGTGGGAGCTTCGGTTCCCCCGTACCTCCAGTGTGGAACCGAACCTACGTTTGCCAAGCTCCTGCACGGCCCAGGTCCCATGACCTGTGCTACGTCATCTTGTGAACTAGCTGTCCCTGTTTCACAGGTGGGGAAAGCGAGGTTCGGAGTTTGAGGCACACGTGGGCATGATATGAACCTGTGTCTTGCTGACCCGAAGGCCTGTTCTGGGCCACTCTGCCACGCTGCCTGGGAGAAGCAGATCTAAGATGTGCAGTTCTGGGCTGGGGAAGAGTGTGGTGTGGGGCAGGGAGGATGGAAGGAGAAAAAAGGCCTGAGGACAAAATTAGGAGAGAAAACAGTAGACTCCCATGGCTCTCAAAGATAGATCATTTAAGAAATTATGATAAAAATAATTTTGCCCATTGCATCTATATTGCATTATGTTAAAGAATATGAAAAAGGAAAAAGTACTTGTCTGAAAAAAATGACCAACATTTTGGTGTATTTCCTTCCAGTTTCTTTTTCCTATGTGGTATTTAATTCTGTTTTAAAATGTAACCATACAACTTTCCCTAAAGAACTCAAAACCCTCTCTGTAAATATCATTCATAAGTGAATATGATTTTTGTGAAAATATAAACATTATGTTATATAACATAATGTGATAAATACAGTCACCCCCCCTTATCCATGAGGGAGCCTGAAGCCAGGGAGAGTTCGCAGCCCTGTGCCTTCCTTCTCCCTAGACAGACATGCCTAATGTTTAATTTATACACTAGGCACGTGAGGGGCTCACTACAATAATCAATAATGAAATACAACAGTTAGAACAAATGCTGTAATAAGAGTTATGAGAATGTGGTCACTCTCTCGAAACTTCTCCTTGTACAGTGTATTTTCCACAGTGACTGAGCTCCTGTAACTGAAGCTGCAGACAGCAAAGTGGCAGATAAGGGCAGGGAGTTACTTATTTAATGTAGAAATTTTGGAAGCTACACCTGTGCAAAAAGAATCAAAATTATTATTCCGTTTTGCCATTCAGGGAAAACTGTTATTTTGACATATTTAAACACATAACAAACGTGTATATGTGTATTTGCATGGAGGTATAGTGCCTTTGTGAAGCTGAGATCATAAGATGCATCCTTTCCTTTTTAGATAAATGCTTTTTATTCATTTTTTTTTGTTGAGGGACATTGGTTTGTCACTGTATATGGTTTAAGGATACCGGGTCACACCTCTTCAGATGTGACTGATCATACCACCCACACCACTAAGTCACCCCTAGTCTTTCACCAGAGTCCATTATAAACCCTCTCTTCTCTCTGGTAATCAATTCCACAGTCAGATTTCTAGGGTTTGTTATTGGCTTAACACCCTTTGTTTTGTTTCTCTATGTTCTTTTCTTAAAAACTCAATTGATCTTATCTAACATAACATATATGGCCTTTTTTAGTCAATTCATATACATTTACGCCATCTTTTTCATATAGACTAGTTTACATGGAAATGTTATGATTGTTTCACCCCATTCTTTAGTGATGATTATCTAATTAATTTTTACTTTCTATTAGAGGCAATGAAAAATAATCACTAAGAATTATACTTGGTAGCAAAATAGAAATAGTCACGGCTCCCAACATCTTTGCAATGCATTTTTCACGACTGTGTAATAGTCCTTGCAGGGCAGGCCACTCTCCTGCTGGATGTCATTTCCAGCCTTGCACTGCTGTAAAATATTCCACAAACCATGCACACACCTCAGATTATTTCCTCGGGGCCATGTTCAGTTGGCTACTCCTGGGTTACTCACCAGACCTCCTCCCCCTTTTCCCACAGGCTTACCTATTCCCAGCAATGGCCATTTTTAAGGCAGAAGATGCCAGTGGGGAAGCAGCAGCTATGTTGAACAATATGCGTGTGTATGGCACCTGTGTGCTCACCTGCATGGCCACCGTGGTATTTGTGGGTGTCAAGTATGTCAACAAGTTTGCCCTTGTCTTCCTGGGTTGTGTCATCCTCTCCATCCTGGCCATCTATGCTGGGGTCATCAAGTCTGCCTTCGACCCACCTAACTTCCCGTGAGTGCTGAATCTAAGACCTTGTCCTCCTTTTCCTTGGCCCAGTCTTGGGGTCTTCACACAAGCCTTTCCCATTTCTCAGAATATGTTTGGTTGTAAGTTCAGAGTAGGTTCCCTTGGAAGAAAAATCTCTCTTGGTTTGGAGGCAATCTCTCTTTTTTTAAAGATTTATTTACTTATGCATATAAGAACTGGGGTACAGGCCAGAGGTGTGGGGGATGAGAGGATTCACCAGAGACAGAATGGGGATCAGAACAGGCAGATTGACTGAAATATGCTGCTGAGGGGAGCAGCAGGTGGGTCAGGAGTGGTCTACCACGCATGTGGGTCACCTCCCTGGCCAGGAATCGACCTCATGTTAAAGTGGCTGCTAAGAACTTCATAGTGCTGCTAAAGAGCCTGTTGTGCCACCAGGGAGGGCCCTGGAGGCAGTCTCTTCAGAGATAACATTTCTGGAGGCTGACGCTGTTTCCCTTGTGAAGGTCAGCTGCTTGTTGGTGGTGTGGCTTAGGAAGCACTAAGTGGGAATCATTTCTGAAGGGATGAATCTAGTGTTAGAGAAACATTTTCTGGTAGGGGACCAGCTGGGATGGAACACCATTTTATGTTCAGTCTATGAGGGGGAAAACTATGGGGGGAGAAGACATAGAAAAGAGGGCCCAGGGCTTCAGATCCCTGCTGGTTCTTGCTTCTCTCCCTAGAATATTTTCTCCTGTGTCCCAAGGCACACAGAGACTGTTGTCCATGCTGTTGAAACACAGATTGCACAAAATCTGTAGTTCTCCTGCTGTGACTGCATGTTAGAATCATTTGGGGAGAGCTTTGAAAAGCACTGATTTTGGGCTCCATCCCAATTAAATCAGAATCTCGATACAGGGCCCTGGCATCTGCGTTTTTTGAATGCTCCTCCCCCACCTGCCCTGTGGTTCTAGTGTGAATTCAGGGCGAGCTGACTCCCTCCCTGTTTCCCTCCCTTGCTTCTCTCCCTAGAATCTGCCTCCTGGGGAACCGCACACTGTCTCGCCACGGCTTTGATGTTTGTGCCAAGTTGGCTTGGGAAGGAAATGAGACAGTGACCACACGGCTCTGGGGCCTTTTCTGTTCCTCCCGCTTCCTCAACGCCACCTGTGACGAGTACTTCACCCGAAACAATGTCACAGAAATCCAGGGCATTCCTGGAGCTGCCAGTGGCCTCATCAAAGGTCTGGGGGTGGGGGTGGGTGAGGGAAAAGGGTTGGTATCCAGGGAGCACTGCAGGGGCTCAGGATTAAGGGATTCTCTTTGGGATTTAGCTAATATCAATCAGTTTTTGTTGAGCAATTACTCTGGACCATTCACTGCCCTTGATGTCATGAAGGGGTATAGATGAGACTTCAACCATCTTAACCACCTAGTAGGAAAGAAATTCACCCATTTAACAAGTATTCATTTAGTAAGCACCTACTAAGAGCCAACAGTGCCCAGAGCATGAGGAACATAACATAAATAAGTCATAGTTCTTGACTTCAAGGAGTCTACTGGCAGAGACAGATGTATGAGGAAATAAATTGTGATAGTGCAGATGTGTGTTCATGAGCAGAGATGTCCCAGGAGAGGGAGCAGTCAGGTGTATCAAGCTGCGAGATAAGGCTTCCTGGACTCATCCAAGGAGGGTTTTGAAGGGCAAATAAGAGATTTCCTATTATATTAGGGGAATAGGGAATTGCAGGCAGAACAGCTTGCCTGAAAGCTTGTAGGCATGGAAAGGTACATTGTGTCCTTCCAACCACAGGTAATGTAGTATGACTGGGGCATGAAGTGCAAAGGAGGGAGAGGCAAGAAATGATGTTGGGGGGGGTTAGAATGAGCTGGGCTGTAAGCCTTGATACCCTCTTGAGCAGTCTGGGCTGGGACCTGAGGACAGGGAGAGCCACCAAAGGGTTTCAAGTAAGGGACTGCCATATATTTGTTCACCCTCTAGACTGGACTCTCTGGGGGCAGGGATTATATCTGATTCATGTGCACAGTGCCTGTATGTGTCCTGACCCAAAGCAGGAGCTTAGGACATGGTGGTGGACATGAAATAGACCTGAGGAGGGTGGAAGGAGCAAGAGGTGGTTGACCTTGACTCTCTTATTCACATTGGACCCCCGGCTCCGAAGCACAGGAATCCTGACTTCTGGTCATTCTCCTGAGCTCCCTGTGTCTCCCCCCTCCACAGAGAACCTATGGAGCTCCTACCTGACCAAGGGGGTGATTGTGGAGCGGCGTGGGATGCCCTCAGTGGGCCTGGCAGATGGCGCCCCTGTTGACATGGACCATCCTTATGTCTTCAGTGATATGACCTCCTACTTCACCCTGCTGGTTGGCATCTACTTCCCCTCTGTCACAGGTGAAGGGTTGCTCAGAGAGGGGGGACCCTGCCTGGGAGTGGAGGGGTAGGAGAAAGTCAGTGATGATGGGGGGAAGTTCTTAGTCCACAGCTCCATTACCTAGGCAGAAGCCAACGATTCCATTCCCCTGGGAAAGGATTTGATTGGAATTCCATTCTGTTTGTCCCAGATGAGGAAGTAAGGCCAGGAGAAGCCAAGTAATGTGCCAAGCCCTCACTGTACACCAGAGCTAGGTCCCAATCTCCGTGACTCTGAAGCTGGTGTCTTGCCCTCGTGGCCTGCAGGCCTCTTCTCCTAGCTGCTCCTCTGTTCACAGGGATCATGGCTGGTTCTAACCGCTCCGGGGACCTGCGGGATGCCCAGAAGTCAATTCCCACTGGCACCATCCTGGCCATCGCCACCACCTCTGCTGTCTGTATCCTGCACTGCTGGGCTGGGGCCACTGGGGGCAGGGATTCTAGCGGGTGGGCAGCTGGAGCGGGGCCTGGCTGCTCAGCAGCAGTGGGCAAAGGGTGGCACCACCCAGGGGATTCTCCTTTATCCTTTGCTGCAGATATCAGCTCCGTTGTTCTCTTTGGGGCCTGTATTGAGGGGGTCGTTCTGCGGGACAAGTAAGTAAGGGATTCAGGGTTGATGCTGTTCTGGGGGTTGGGCACAGAAGACAACTTCTAGGAGACAGATTCAGCAGGGATTGGTGAAGCTGAGCAAGGGGCCAGGTGAGAGTGAAGCCGCAGGGCAGAGCTTGGCAACCCACCTTCTCATATGATGCCTCGTCTTTCTCATGTCACTCCAGTTCAAGAAGCTTGGTGTCTCATTTTCTTTAGGATAATGATATTTTCTTTTTCTTTAATATCTACTAATTCATTCACGATAGTATATTATGTATTCATTCATTATAATATATAATATATTCATTAATTCATGATATGTTGGCCACTGTCCAGGGTCCTGAGGGGGATCAAAGATACATAAGGCATGATATTTGTCCCGATGGAGCACTTTGGGGTGGTCACCAGACCTCTCAACACACTTGACATGCAGGGTAATGGTGGTGGTGATGCAGTGGCATACAGGGGTGTTAGGCGAGCACAGGGGGCTGCAGACCAGGCCTCAGCAGGTTCCCAGAGGACGTGAGGCTGAAAGTGGCTTGTACACATCTTCCTCATTTCTCCCCACTATGAATGTTGATCTAAGATGACTGACTGGGAGGGCAGAGGGCCTCTGTGTCCGTGTGTTCTCACACACAGGTGCCTGTAGCTACTCACAACTCCTGAAGCTCACACCTCTGACACCTACACAGCCAGTGAGGGAGAGCAGCACAGAAATCAGTTTCTAAGATGCCATCCTGGAAAATAGGGGCCATGAGGCTGGGACCTAAGCTGGAGCCAGTCCTGAATGCCTCTGGCTTTTAGTACCAGGAAATTGGATTCAGCATCTGTTTTTTGTTTTTCTTTTTTAAAGATTTATTTATTTGTACATACAGAACTGGGGTACAGGCTAGAGGCTCAGAGGCGGCGAGAGGCTTCACCAGGGACAGAGTGGGGAACAGAACAGGCAGATCGACAAAGTACACTGCTGAGGGGAGCAGCGGGCAGGTCAGGAGAGGTCTGCCGCCATGTGGTCACCTCC